TCAGTCGACAGATGCCTTAAAAATTTCTTTCAAAATTTAATGTTTAAATAAAGTTTTTTAAATTGCAACTTACAGGTTTAAGTTTATATAAAATAACAATAAAAAATTTAAAACATTATTTAATTAAAATTTAATAATAAAACTCTATTGTAAAAGAATCACATCTGTAATTTTAAATTTTAACCATTTATATGGGAAGACAAAAGCATTTTCTAAAAAATTTATATTTAACTTAATGTTGGTTATTTTGTAATTTAAATTACATTAAACAAGAAATTAAAAATAATTAAATGAAGGAAGACCCACCTAAATATAAAGGAGCTACCTGTTTAATTTAACTAATTTTATATAGTGATTAATTATCCTGTGTTCTTAGGATATATGATAAGAAGTAATGATTAAATTGTTATTGTAGTATTTTTTAATGTGAAATTTTGAAATTAAAATTATTTTTATTTTTAATTTAAAATAAACTAATAAAAAATTAACATATGATATCTATAATTAAAACAAAAATTAATTTTATCACTTTTAAAATAAAAAAAATAATTATTAATCAATAACTACTTTTTATCTTGTGTGTTAAGAATAAATAAATCATGGGCGTTGATTCGTGCACCCAACAAACTAGCACCTTCACGCTACACACCACTTTTAACCACTTATACAATTAATGTTTTATGATTTTAAACTATTCTCAAACAACTTAAACCAGTTGCCAAACATATGAGTAAAGAATAAAAAATGTAAAAAATTGTGTTGATCTTCTTTCATGTTGATCTTCTTCTCCGTTTATCTTCTTCTCCAATTTATATAAAATTTTCAACAATAATAAAAGTTTAGAATTTTTTACGAACCAAATATATTTTACCCATGGAATTTTCTTTCCATCTCTAATTTTCTTATCAACCAAATAAAACACCACATTATTAAATTTGTAAAAATTCTAACAAAAATTTATAAAAATTCATTATCTTCTTCCTCTTTTTTTGTTTTTTTTTCTCCTCTCTCTCCTCCATCATCCTCTAGATAAGGGGAACCCACTTCAACAGAGGGGAGGAGAGGGAAACAAGAAGAAAAAGAAAGGAGGAGGTAAAGGAAGGTTGAAAACCAAAGATGTTGGGCGAAGAGGAGAGCTACCTAGATCTACAGATAGAGAACTCAAAAGAGGAGATTTAGGAGGAGATGGTAGAGAAATGGTGACGGAGAAAGAAGGCAGCTTGCTATGGACAAGCAAGGATAAGCCTCTAATGAAAAAATATTGAATTTTAACTTTTGAACCAAAAGTGCGTAAAGTAGGATGTGGGTTCGGGTAAACGTATCATTTTCCATAAATCATTATATATATATATATATATATAAACCATTAGAGTATATGATAGAAAAACCATTATATATATTTACAATCTAAACGAAACACATATACTGCTAAGTCCCTATTTTATTAGTTTCATTCCTTTAAGGGTTTTTTTTTTTTTTTTGTCTGTTTTAATTTTTGATAAGTAGGAATTAGTCATGTCAAATGATCATGGAGGAGACAAATTAAAGTATAAGATGTGCTTAGCCGTCCATTTTGGGAAAAGGTCAAGTAATAATTCAGTGATTGTGATGCTCCTTTCCAGTCGCATTCTAGCTTTCCGTCCATTGGCAAAAAGAGTTAATAAGGGTTTAAACCCCTAATCACAAATACTATAGCAAAATGTCTATGTCCGAAAAGATTCAACATGTGAAAGTTGAAGGCCCCAAGTTTGTAAAGATGTTTTATGTTTAATTTATAGCATGCTTCTTTGAACCACATGTTCACATATATATAGCATTAAAGCTAAGACGTACGTAAGAGGAAAATTCAACTTGGAAATGATTACATTCAAGCAAGAATTTATGATTTTTGTGTTGTGAGGACAAATTTATATTCGAAGAAAAAAATATTAACACGATGATCAAGTTACAATTTCGTTTTTCCTTTTTTTTTTTTTTTTTTTTTGTTTTTCCCCCCTTA